GAGAGGTGGTGGGATCTCCATCCTTGGAGGTTTTGAAGACTCGGGGAGACGAAGCCTTGGCTGGGAGGATGTAGTTGGGTCTGGTCCTGCTCTGAGCAGGGGGTTGGAGTGGGTGTGACCTCCCAAGGTCCCTTCACACCCTCATTTTCTGTGGTTCTATGAAAATGGCAGCTGCCCTGGTAGCATTGTTGGCCTGAGGTGGCACAGGGTCTCTACCAGGGCAGGCTCTCAATCAGGGTGTCTGTGGGAGGGAGCTCAGAGTAATCTTTAGCTTCTCTCCCAGATCGATGCCAAGAACCAGCAGCTGGAGGAAGCACAAGCAGAGCTGAAAAGAGCCAAGGCTGATCACAAAGCCAAGAAGGACGTGAAATCAAAAGAGTGAGTGACCGTGGGGTCCTCGGTAGTGAAGGAGCCCTGGGGGGTAGGGACCCCTTCTCAGCTGTGCCTCTTGCCACCTCAAGACACAGATCATGAAATGGCAGGAGGTGGTTAATGGGAGGCAGGGCCTTGATTTCAACATGACCTGTCAGCAACAGGGCAGGCAGCTTCAGGTGGGAGCTCCTGCCTCAGGTTTGTGGGTCCCTGGTCTGCAGGAATGGAGCTAGGAAACGTGCTGCTTGCAACACAGATCTCACACGGATGCAGTGTCTGATTCGAACACAGCGCTGCTGTTTGAGTGCCACTCTGATCCCCTTTCCCTTCCTGATCTGCTGCTCTGCCTTCTGCTCCCTCCTCAATCTGCAAGCCACGCACGGGATGTCCATGCTACGTGTAGCACGTGTGTTGCGGGTTGCCCCCCAGCCCCAGCGTATCCTGTTCTGAAAATCCTCCAGTGAAAGAGTCTGCAGCCTCTTCTGGCACTTTGCAAGGATGTGTCAGCATGTCATATCTGCACACTCCTCTCATCCTTAGATCTTCCTAACTAAGTACTCTGGGCCTGGTATTGTCCTCAGCAAGTTTGCAGATGATACCAAGGTGCGGGGTGTAGTAGATGCGCTGGGGGGTAGGGTTAGGATTCAGAGACCTTGACAAATTGGAGGATTGAACCAAAAGAAAACTCATGAGAATCAACAAGGACAAGTGCAAAGTCCTGCACTGAGGAGGGAGCAATCCACTGCACCGGTGCAGGCTGGGGGTGACAGGCTGGGCAGCAGCTCTGCAGAAAAGGACCTGGGGGAACAGGGGACAAGAAGCTGGACAGGAGCCAGCAGTGCACCCTTGGTGCCAAGAAGGCGACCAGCATCCTGGGCTGCATCGGTAGGAGCGTTGCCGGCAGATCGAGGGACGTGATTCTTCCCCTCTATTCAGCACTGGGGAGGCCACATCTGGAGTCCTGTGTCCAGCTGTGGGCCCCACTACAGAAAGGATGTGGACACATTGGAGAGAGTCCAGTGGCAGGCAGTGAAAAAGGTTGTGGGGCTGGGGGACAGGACTGGTGAGGAGAGGCCGAGGGAACTGGGCTGATTGAGTCTGGAGATGAGAAGACCGAGGGGGATTGACTAGCAACCTTCACCTCCCTGCAGGGGGGCTGCAAAGAGGATGGAGCTGGGCTCTTCTCAGTGGGGGCAGATGACAGGACAAGGAGCAATGGGCTCAAGCTGCAGCAAGGGAGGAAAAAGTTTTTCATTAGGATGGTCATAAACTGGAACAGGTGACCCAGAGAGGTGGCGGAGTCTCCATTGTTGGAGGTTTTGAAGATCTGGGTGGACAAAGCTTTGCCTCTGATGATATTGTTGGGGCTGGTTCTGCTTGGAGCAGGGGGTTGGACTAGATGTGACCTCCTGAGATCCCTTCACACCCTCGTTGTCTGTGATTCTGTGATGAGTCTCTTCCCCTCCCAGATGCTGAGTCTGGCTGGTGCCTACAGCGAACAGAGGGGTGGAGGTGAGAAGGGACATGAGGGTTATAAGTGCTGATACTGGATTTCTATATCTTAGCCTATTTCTTTCTTTCTTGGTTGCTCTGCTTTGGATTTCAGTATTTCTGGGGCACATGTAGAGCCCCTGATGGGTCTGACTTTCCTTTCTTATATCTAAGGCGTCAGGTTTTGATTTTTAGCAAGAGCCTTACTGTCAGCTATTCTAAAACTCCAGGAGTCTGTCCATCTGCAATGTAGTTCCCATGTATTCATGTCAGATAACCACATAGGTGGTCCCTTATCATGATGCCAGTCCCAACGTTTTTGCTGGATGCTTACCTTATAAACAAGCATGTGGAGGCCAACCTTTTTGGCAGATGTGCCACACATTAGCTCTACACCCTCCCTGAATGCCAGTCTGATCCCCTTTCTCTGCCTGCTCTGCTGTCTGCTCCCTCCTCTGTGCTCCCCACCCAATCTCCTCCTGGCTTCTGCATTCTGCCCTGTGCTGTTTTCCTGGTCTCCTGATCTGCTTTCTGCTCCCTGCTCTATCTGCCACTGGGCTGCTTGTCCCCTCCTTGACGTTGTTAGCCCCACGCAAGCTCCCTTTTGCCATTTGGGGCACACTTACTAGAGGTTGGCTGTCTGCATTAAAGCACTTCAGCGCATAGGGACTCTTATCCTCACTGTCTGTACAATCATTGCAATATGTTTAACGGCATCATGGGATGTACTGATTAGGAGCTGTGAATTTCAAGGCTTCTGACCCCAGTTTGCCATCTCCATTTTAAGGATGCTCTTGGAAAACGGGTAAGGCGCTTCAGTGAGGTGTGAAGACCTTAGTCCACTGTCCCTGGATTTAACTAGCATTGTGTTTATGCTGAATCCAAGTTGATTCGTGGCCTTTTTCCAGTCCCAACACCACGCCCTGAGAGCATATGCTTATAGTTCTTTATTTGAGCACTTCTGCAAGGTGTTTCCAAAATCCTAGTGCAGAGGTGCTGATCTATGTTGTGATTTGCTTTGGGGGCGAGGAGAGGGGAATCAGTTGTTGCTTCATGGATGGACTCAAAGGGCTGGGTTTTGTCCTCAGTGACAAGGAGGAAGCCAGAGACTCTCTTTTCAGGGACTTTCAAATTAACCTTCCTCTAATACCACGCATGAGGACCCAAGGGAAAGGTTAGTAAAGGAAGTTCATTCTTTACCAAACCTTGCTGCTTCTTGAAATCTCTCCAGCCAGTGTCACCAATTCATGGCTGCCTGTTTCCATCCAAGAAGTGCCTCCATTTCTTTAAGTCTGGTGTAGCCCTGTTGGGATCAAGGGACCCTTGCACTAAGCTGAGTGCATATTGCATTAAATTCTTGGGATATAGCAGCTTTTAGATGGCACTGAAGCTAGAAACCTCTGGGTCTCGAGGCATGGAGCTGTGGCACACCAGGCAGTCCTTATTCTTTACTCTTGCTTGAAATGGTGACATTTAAGCCAGGTTTATGTATGGCTGGTTTGCTTTTCAAATAGTGGGCAGCAGACAGCAGTGACATTTTCCATCTCTCTTTTTGTCTGCTTTTCCTTATGAGCACTTGGTTTGGACTCTCCTTTCTCCCTCTCCAACAGGGCCGTGGAGAAGAAAAAGAAGTTGCTGGAGAAGATTAAAGAGCAGCTGGAGAAATTGAACGTCCAAGTCACGGACAAAGAGGAGAACAAGCAGATCGCTCTGGGCACGTCCAAGCTGAATTACTTGGATCCCAGGATTAGTGTGGCCTGGTAGGTTATTGGCATACTTGAAATGTGGTGTGTGAACCTCTTGCACACCCTGTAGTGTGCGTGCCCATCTTGGACATGGAGAGTAGAGTGATAAGACACGAACAAGCAGAAATAAATATCCAACCCCCTGAGCGTCTCCAGTCAAGGTGGGTAAGTGTGAAGGGATGCATGTGGTCAAAAATAATCCAAAATATCCCTACGCTACAGTGGGCTCTATGTTTAGTGCTTACCACACAGGAAAGAGATTTGGAAGTCATTGGGGACAGTTTTCTGAAAGCATTAGCTCAGCAGCTGTCAGAGGCAAACAAGATATTAGAAATGATTAGGAAGGGAATTGTGAACAAAATGGAAAGTATCACCATGCCTCTTTTATAAGGTGTCTGCACCTCGAATACCGTGCCCAGTTCTGGTCCCCGTACCTCAAAAAGGAGGTAGAAGAGTTGGAGAAGGGCAGCAAGGATGGGGAGTAGGATAGAGGGGCTTCCCGATAAGGGAAGAGCAGCAAGGCCAGGCCTGTTCAGTTTAGAAAAGAGATGTCTGAGGGGGTTTACAAAATACTAGGGGCTGAAGAGAAGGTCAATAGGGATGTATTAGTGCCTGTCTCACAATACGTGAACTAGGCATCACAAGATAAAACTAGTAGGTCGTAGGTTTAAACCAAACACAAAGGTGTTATATTTTTTACACGCCATGTAATGAACTTGTGGCTCTCATTGCCACCAGCCAGATCCAGGAGGGGATTGGACAAATTCTTGGAGGAAAGGGGCATCAGTAGTTATCATGCATGCGAGCTAGGGACACAGCCTCTGAATTGGGACTTCCCAGACCTTGAATGCTGGAGGCTGCAAATGAGAGAGGAGCGGTGTAGCGGGGGGGACACGACCCTAATGAGACCCATTTCACTCTTCCTTTTGGCATCTGCTCTCTGCCACTATTTGGTGCAGGAGGCTGGGCAAGGTAGACATATGGTCTGGCCCAGTAAATGGCAGTTCTTGCGTTATGTGGAGTAAGCCCCTTGAATTGCAGCTGGAAACTCCTAGGGGGTCTGTACAGTCTCGGAGCATGAGTATCGTGCTCCTAATTAGAAACACTGCTTGCGTCCCCTAGTAAGTACTTAGTCGGTGCTCCCTGTCGGGATGAGTGAACACATTGTGGTCATTAGAAGACTCTTTGAAACCCCCTTCGTGCATTAGGGGAAAAATCATCCCCATTTACCAATGGAGAACTGAGCCCAGGGGTAGCTAAATGCCTCGGCAAGTCATTTTGTATCTCAGCTGGGGTTTGAACCTGCATCTCTTGTCTCAGTCCAGTGCTCTAGGCCATTTTCTAAACTTAACTGATTCACATCACACAGTTCAATCCAATTTCAATTCAAACGAAGGGTTAATAGATGATCATTGACCATCAGGGCAGGGGGTGGTTGAAAGTAATTAGGGAGCTATAATAAGGCTGTTTAAGCAGTGCTGCATGGTTGCAGCTCTCTAAAGTGCTGTTCTAATGGGTGCAATGGACCCGAGGTGAGGTGGCCTTGGCATATCTGACTTTGCAAAGGGGTTACTTTGTGCCTGTTGGACTCTGTGCTTGCAATGCTGATCTGAGTTCTTGAGGATTGGTTTTCCTAAAAGCAACACAGTATATACATGTTAATGAATACTGTTTCAGTTGGCTAGTTCAGACTACCCTAGTTTGCATTAACTTTAATCCTCATTCAATAAGGATTAGTTTATTTAGATTGGCCAATTTTAATTTGAACTACAGACGTCCACGTGTATATAGCGATGGCTGTAGTCTGGATGAAACCTAGAAAAACATAGCGTTTATAAATGGCCCTATGCACCATCCCACATGGCTTTACCTCCATTACAGCATGCAACAGGAGCATAAAACCCAGCCAGCCCTGCCTGTGTGTTGGAGAAAGGACATATGCTATTTGTGAAGACTTCCAGCTTTGTTCGTTATTGCGGGGCAGGGAGCCTTCATAGGCAACTTGCAGAACATAAGAAAGTGCCCTGCAAGTCAGTCTGGCCTGACTGGGTGTGCGTTACCTTACCCTGTGCCTTGTTTGCCTGCAGGTGCAAGAAGTTTGGCGTGCCCATCGAGAAGATCTACAACAAGACTCAGCGCGAGAAGTTTGCCTGGGCCATCGACATGGCCGATGAAGACTTTGAGTTCTGAGAGAGTGGCTTTCCCTGGGAAACCCGACTTCTTTCTGGCTCTTTTGGTACCTTTTGGATGGTTTTATGTGCTGCAGTTACCATTTTGTGGCGGTAACCCACCTCGGGGAGTACTTGCTGCATATAATTCATGCCTTTTTGTATAAAAGCCACCCCCGTTTTGTATTTGAAACAGGTACGGCTGGACGCCTGCACTTTGAATTCCCTTCCTCTTATGGCAGCCACCAAGTGATTTGTTCCCTCCCTGAGGTTGAAAAATAGAGGTTGGGAATGAGCCTTAATCCTACATCCTAAAACTAGATTAGATAATCTAATCCCATCTCCCTTCTCTGCATCAGAGATGCGCCATCTTTTCTTTTCTTCAGACTTCATCTGAGAAATTAGCTTGACAAGAAATATAAAAGCACTTTGCCGAACCCAAGCAGTTGTAGCTACGGAAAGGACTGTCGTGCCATCGAAGGGGGGAGCAGCTTGGGTGCGTCTGGAGGAGGGATATTTTTGGGTTCTCTAAACCCATGCGAGACGCAGCAAGAATCGCAAAATAGTTTGTTACGTTTCTTCAAAATTTGGTCTGAAAAGGGGGAAAAAAATGTTCAAGTTGCCAAACATGACCATCAGGGCCTGTAGGAAACTTCAGTTTAGGAGAAGGTATAAATGATGGGAAATACCGTGCAGAAATCCAGTTTGCTGCACGGTGGATGTGGGGCTTCAGAACGGAAAATGGCAGCGGCTTGCGAAGTGTACGCGAATATACCTGATTGCATATCCTCAATTTGATAACACGGGCCTGATTTTAATTCAAAGTGCAGTGAGGTCAATAGATTTTTTTTTTTTCCTTTGCTTACAGCAGGCTTTGAATTGGGATCCAAGTACCTTTAGAGTGATGTAAGTGGCAGTAAGTCTCACCCCATGTGTACATTTTCCTGTTGTAGGGTATATGGCAGAGGCTGTAAGCATTGGGTGGGCATATAGCTAAAGCAAAATGATTTTGCTGCAGATCTGAAACGTGCGATTTCACTGGTCCATCTGTGTTTCTCCCTGACATTGGTTAAGTTGAGAAGCACAAGGCATTGACCACAGACCTGAGAGGGAAATACTGTAGCTACAATACAGTAAAACTAATAGCTCCTATATACATTTGACCACTTCGCTGTTGGTAGGAAGTGTTCAAGGGAGTTTGATGGATCTTGCAAGAAGTTAGCCTGAAAAGGCTTCCGTCACTAAAATGTTGGTATTCAAACTGAGGGTTAAATCAAGGATAAACCTTGTATTATTTAATGGATAAAATTCATGTCCCCATAGTCCTGAGGCACTCCCGATATACATAGTTGTTCTCCATGGATTCGTTTGCAGTCGGCTGCTCTTTATGTTAACTTATGTAAGTTATCATTTTGTTTGGAGTCGGACGCGCAGAGCGCATTTCATTAAAATTTGAGATACTTTGTGTACGTTGGTGCCTGGGATTTCTTTCTTTTTAACCTTTTTTGATACTTCTTTGCATCAAAGTGGGGACAAAATCCTCGTGAGCTTTATAATGGAGCCGGATTGGTTTATAATGAGATTTGCACGATGTATTTTGTTTGCAAAGGGAGAGGATTGGACTTGGTGATACTGGAGTTGCTTTTCAGCTCTGGGCTCCCTAGCTAGAAGCAAACGGCCATGACCTCCCATCGAAAAGACCCTGCATGTGGGGTGGTGGGATGAATATTAAGGACCTGGCATGCAAAACTGATGCACGTGTGGCACCCTGGAAAATACAGCTCTTATTAACCACGTGGTCAGCCCATCACAAACTGGAATACTACCCCACCCCCATCATCCCCCGCCAAAAAGCTAGAGCAGGCTCCAGACTACTCTGATTTAAAACTCGGGGACCAAAACCCATGGGCAGGCCTTTCCAGCAGCTGAATAGCATGAAGGAGAGTCACCTGCGGCCTTCTCCCTCATGGATGCTCCTTAAGTCGGTGCCTGGAGAAAGCAAGCACAGACACAAGTGGACCGATGAAGTGAAGTTGCACATTGCACTTAGACCGTACTAAGGGCACTTAAAACATGAGTGTCTGCACGTTAAAGCTCATTAACTTGTGATTGGTGCCCTCTGAGCATCCCAAAGTTTCACCGCTTCTGGGCTGTGCTATGGTAACTTCAGTCGGCTCCACGAGCCATTTGCAGTCCTCCAGCATCCCAGGATGCACTGCTTCCAGCCCCCTTCTCCCAGTAGGGCTGGAGCCGAGGTGTCCTGGCTCCTAGCTGCACCCCTGCTTACTTGCCTTTTAGGGGCAAGTCAAAGCTATGCAGGCTTGAAACAGGATTAACCATTAATATGCAACTGTTCGCAGCACGTTGTGACTCTTAACACTACTTAACAGATTTATTACAGTCCAAGTGTAACGTCGGACTTCTTCCTTAATGTTGATGAGACATACAACTGGATGTTTTAAGTATTGCTCATTAGGAAGAAATGCTCTCCTAGGCAGACTTATTTTGTTTTTTATTTTATTTTATTTTTCTTATGAGGTGGCTGTGAAAAGCATTTGGTCTGCAGCCAGCATCTTATTGACTGCACTTTATCGTCCCTCTTGAGGTGCTAACTAGTCTGATGCATCGGGAAGGGCCGGACTGCACCCTTTGCACCACCCTAGCTGTGCGGTGCATGCAACTGGGCTGTGATGGAGGCTGAGCACCGGGACCAATCCTCAGCAATCCCTGCTGTGCTTTCATCTCCCTCATACTGATTCTGGTCGGGCCTCCAGCAAAGCAGCAGGATTATGTTTCTCTTTGGATTGATCTCTTTTAATCGAGGTTGGGAGGGAAAGCGCTGCGACAGCAACTCTTCAGCAACGAACATGTGCTGTGCAGTCATGTTGGCCGCATTGATTCTTCACTGAGCCCTTGGATGGAAACCAAGCCGGGCTGCGGTACCCTAGCCCATTCCCTCCTGGGATCGTGCAATTGAACTAGAGCCATTGGTGCAATGTTTTGCCGGTGCTTGCCAGCGTCCCTCACCTGAGAGATGGTACCTGGCCCCTGCTGTGAGAGAGACTTGCTCCTTGCTCTATAAATCAGACCCAGACTCCTGCTTCAGCCAAATGGCTGGAGAACCACAAAGACTGGAGCAGTATTTCCTTCGGCCGGCTCAAAACAGCCACAGCATTGGGTTAGGAAGGATTATAACCCACTGGCTGCTCGCTGCAGGGCTCAGGGACCCTTCCCCCCCCCACCTTGTATGAGTTCCCAGGTGCATTCAGGATTTGCTGTTGGTATTAGAGTGGCTGGAGCTGGAGGCAGGATGATGAATGGGGTGGACCAGCTCCTTGGTGGGACGCAGGGGATGCTCTCACAGTCCCAGCTGGCCTGCCACTTGGGTATTTGGGGGCATCATCATGGGCTTGGGCAGTAGCTTCCCCAGGTTCCTAGTGGCAAGGATTTCTCTCCCATCCTGCCTCCTTTTTTTTTTTTTTTTAATCTTGAGCTGTGGTTCATCTGTCACCATCTCACCCCATGTCACCTAATCCGTTTCCTGCTGCTCCAGGAGCTTTGGGCATCTCCAGCTTTGCCAGAGGTGCTCATGGCTCATCTTCAGAGGATTTAAGAATTTTAGTTGAACTCATGTCCTTGGGCCCAATACAGAGGGATTTGGGTGAAGCATAATCCCCAGGGTATACAGGAGGTCAGACGAGGGACCTAGTAGGTCCTTTCTGCCCTATCATCCCTGGCAAAATCTGGCCCAGGGTGGGAGGAGGTTTCCCTAGCAGGGTGGTTAGGCTCACTGGAATTTTTTGGGAAGAAAAGAAGTGTTTGAGTGGGTGAGGAAACGGGATTTCCATTAAATAGGCAGTGTGCATGGGTGGGAGTCTCACTCACGGGTATCGGTGAAGATGCATCACTTCCCCAGAGATCAGACTTCAGGGGCCAGGCAGGCTAGGTCCCGAGGCAGGTCTGCTGTCTGCCAGAGATGCTTTTGCTTATGGGAACGGTCATCGCGGGCCAGACCAGGATGGTTTGGAGCAAGGCAGGGAGCTGGCATGAGTTCCTTGCTAGCTACCCTCTTGCGCACCGTTTCAGTTTGCTTTACCTGAATTTGTGGCTCGCTTGCTTGCAAAGATCTAGCAACATGGGCTAGGAAGGGGTTTTCCAGGCTCTTGCATCAGTGAGCAGCCTTTAACTTTGGACCATGGAGCCAGTACATCTGCCATGGGATTTTTCTGCAGCCGGCCTGGAAGCTTAGCTCCACTTAGCTTTTTATCCCCCCCCCTTGCATCGTTCGATCAGCAGTACAACTATTCACAAGGCGGCTATGTAAACTCTCGCCGTCTGCATTCAGTGCTATGCAGCTTGGACGCATCTCATGTTGGCATCACGCGGGACTGCAAAGTAAGTTGTGGGCAGCGTCTGAATGAGCTGCAGTTGTTGTTTTCCCAAGGTGAAGCCTACTTAAAACAATAATTAGTGCTTGCTCTGTTATTAAGGGTGGGGGGAGTGACATACAGACACAAGGGTGTGAGAGCACTGCACGCTGCGGCTTCCCTGAGGGCTTGAGAGCAGGTGTTTGGTGGCATGGGTAAGCCAGGTGGCTAATCTTCATCCCTAGCCAAAAGATGCTGAGGTGTGCCCAGCATAATTATGGCCTTGCACAGGTGAGTTGTTTGCACCCTGTGGGAGTGAGAGTGCCCAGCCTTGCTGCCAATTGGAGATGTGGCACATTCTCCCACGCTGCCCTTGGTATAGGAGACTAATGCCCGTATGTTGCTCTCCCCCAAACTACATCCACTGCCATGGTGTCCCCTCCCCTCGGTGACGGCTGGGAGCAGGGCTATAGCCAGCTGCAGGAGCTGGACTGTTCTCCATGGGGGAAGATGCCAGGACAAGGAGCAATGGGCTCAAGCTGCAGCAAGGAAAGTTGAGGTTGGATATTAGGAAAAAACTTTCTAACGAGGAGGGTAGTAAAACAACTCTTTGGTAATCATTACCAAACACCCTCTGGCAGGGGTGCTGGAGGCTGATGGCTTGAAATGAGCTGCTGCTTGAAACCAGGCAGCTTGATAACCCCAAATCATTCCTCTGGGCACAGGAGGGGTGAAATGTCTGTGGACTTGAGAACGCTTTGTGGGGCTGGTTCTCAGCCTAGGAAGCCAGCGTGGTTGCAGACAGCCATGGTACTTACTCCTGCAATGAGGTCTGGGCAGCTAGGCTCCTCCCAGGCTTGAATGGACTTCTTGCTGGACAGTCAGGGGCCTTGAACTACATGGTTCCCACTTCCGCGCATCCAAGTGCTACTTCCACATGCAAATGGAGCTGTAGCAGTGGTTGTTGTGGCACTGGCACATTTTTACATCCAGTTTGTGCCTCTGGATGGAAGAGAAGTGCCTGGCAGATGTGCGTGTCCCTGGAAGGGGGATGGGAGCAAAGCCATGACTAAGAACTGCTTGAGGCAGGAGGAGGAGGAGGAGGGAAGCTTCGCACCAATAGCCCAGGAATTGGGGTATTTAGGAACCATAAAGTTGGGCTGGAAGGGACCTCCAGCGGTCACATCTAGACCAACCCCCTGCCTAAGGCAGGATCAGCCCTGTGCAAACCAGCCCAGACAAATCATCATCTAAACTTTGTAAAAGTACAGTCACCCCTGACACAACACAAGGCAACACCCAACCCTGTCACAGGTAAAGCAGGGGGATCATGGCAGGTAATGTCCTGCTTGTGTAAAAAGGTTTTTAATATATGCTCACGTCAATGTGTGAGCAGCGTTTAGAGGCATAACGGTGAAAGCCTTTGGCCCGAAGTGACTTGAAGCAACCGACCCCCATGCTCAGGTGGTCTGTGATGCACATTATAGTCCTGTCGAAGGCCTTCTCCCCACCCCCATGACATCAGCCTCATGCAACAGCTGCCCCGGGGAGAGCAGTGGAATAGTCCCAGGAAGAGAGGTGCTGAGGGATTAAGTGATGTGCCCAGGGTCCCTTAGGAAAGCAGTGGCAGAGCTGGGACTCAAGCCAGCTCATCCAAGTCAGTCAGTGCTTTGCTCGCTAGGCCAGCAGCTTCCAGCACAAGTCTGACTTTGGCAGGAGAGAAGAAGGGTCTGATGAGCTAGCGCCTGGCCTGCTCCGCCACAGGCCTCCTGTGTGACCTTGGGCAAGTCATTTAACCTTCCAAACCACAGCATGCTGACACAGAGACTGCGCTTCCTTCCCAGGGGGCTGTGTAAAGCTGGCTCTGCAAGTGCAAGGCAAGAGCGTGGATACTGCTGCAAGGACCCCCCAGTGCATAGGATGAGGTTGCATCGCTTCATTCCCTATCAGGCATGGGAGCGAATTTTCCCGGGAGCAATTTGAAATGACCAGGAGTGAACCTGCACCCCACTTTGATTCCTGCTCTGCCCCAAGTTTGAAGCCAACTGCTTGGCAGTAGCAGCAGCATTTGTAGTCAGGCAGCCAAGTCACTGGCTCATCGTCATCTAAATGATTCCTTCCAAATGCTTCACTCCACTGGCGTTAACGACCCTCTCGCCTCTTTAATGGTGTTCAGGTTCCACCAATTAAGCAATTTTTTTCTTCTGCAATTTTGCTGTCTGTTAGCTGCTCCTGGTCACGTAACTCCTGGTTCACAGCCCTGCGGGCTGTGTTTAACTCTAGCGAAAAACATTAACTCAGGTGTGGAAACATGAACTCAGGTGTGAAGTACTGGAGGCAGCGTCACGATGCTCGAGAAGACTTGGTTTTGTTTTATGAACCTGAAAGAGATGCACCTGTTGTTGTATTGACTCCAGGACTAAAGAAACAGCCTCCTTTGGTTATTTTTGCCTAGTGCCTTGTGTTTTTTAGGACAAAAACTATGATCTAACAAATGAACTCACTTTCCAATAAGATCCTATTTGGTTTTGATTTGATCTTAAACTGAATAATACGGCCCTAGCATATTAGCAAAGCTTCTCGTTTCTTTTTACTGGGAGGAAAATATGCGTTATGTTACATACAAGGATGCACCACCTCATCCGCACCCCCTTTTCAAGACCCTAGATCTGCCCGTGCGAGTGGGTGCTGGGGTGTCGGCATGAATCCCCACGACGGCCCCCTGCAATGATGCTGAGCGGTTGCCATCAGCAGGGTCTCGGGCTGCAGCTCTGATATGCATCTTCCACTGCTTCTTTGAGAGTCTGGGTCCACGTAAATCCAAAATTCCCAGCCGAACCCAGGGGTGATTCAGCAAGACCTGGACCACAGGGGAATCATCCTGCAGACTCACCCCCAAGCCTGGTCTGAGCCTGAATGGGCTCTAACTACAGCCCTGATCCCCACACGAAGCAGAGGCAATGCCATAAGGTCTGTCCTTTCCTGGGCACGCCTTCAGGAACCAGGGCTGGGTGCACATGAATTACAGCACCGGGGAACGAGTATAACTTGCTCCCAGTGCTGGGCCGTGGCTGTCTCTTGATGCTGCTGAGATGTTTTACATACGAACACGACTACACCCATGTGCTTGCTCCGGCATACAGTTGTGCCAGGGAGCAAACCGCTCCTATTGCTGGGCCACGCTTGACTCATGCCCTTTGCTTTCCCTCGGTCAACAAATTTACCTGTATCCTTGTTGTCGGCGCCTGCTCCCTACCTGGCCCAGTCACGTCCTCCATGGAGCCAACCAGGGCGGTGGACTTCTCCGTACCCAGCCGACAACCTGCTACTCCAGTTTTTGGGGCACATCTCCAGGCCCTAGCGGCATGTCTCAGCTTGGCGAGGATAGGCCCATCGGGATGACTCTCCATTCCTTCAGAAAATCTCTGCTCCCAGTTTTTTGAGAGATTCAGCCAGGAGGAACCCAAATTTCCTTCTCCTAGCATCTTATAAGCAGCTAAACCAGCCCTCAGAGACAATCTCCCTTTTTTGGCAGAAAACGAAATGAGGCCTGCAGAGGTTCAATGCTTTTTTTTTTTTTTCCCTAGGGTCACACAGGGAAAACAGCCCAGTGTTTCCAGAACAGGAGCCAGCAGCGTGCCAAGAAGGTGACCGGCATCCTGGGCTGCATCGGTAGGAGCGTTGCCAGCAGATCGAGGGACATGATTCTTCCCCTCTATTCAGCACTGGGGAGGCCACATCTGGATCCGTGTCCAGCTGTGCACCCCCCTACAGACAGGATGTGGACACATTGGAGAGTGTCCAGTGGAGGGCAATGAAAGTGTTTGTGGGGCTGGGGGACAGGACTGGTGAGGAGAGGCCGAGGGAACTGGGCTGATTGAGTCTGGAGAAGAGAAGACCGAGGGGCCTTCACCTCCCTGCAGGGGGGCTGCAAAGAGGATGGAGCTGGGCTGGTCTCAGTGGGGGCAGATGACAGGACAAGCAGCAGTGGGCTCAAGTTGCAGCAAGGGAAAGTTTGGGTTAGATACTAGGAAGAATTTTCTTATTAGGAGGGTGGTGAAGCACTGGAACAGGCTCCCCAGAGAGGTGGTGCAGTCTCCATCCTTGGAGGTTTTGAAGACCCAGGTAGACAAAGCCCTTGGCTGGGATGATGTAGCTGGGACTGGTCCTACTTTGAGCAGGGGGTTGGACTAGATGTGACCTCCTGAGGTCCCTTCAACCCTCATTTTCTATGCTTCTGTTTCACCCGAAGACTGGAAGAAGGCCAATGTGGTGCCTATCTTTAAGAAAGGGAGGAAAGTGGATCCGGCTAACTATAGGCCCATCAGCCTGACCTCTATCCCGGGGAAGGTCTTAGAAAAGATTATCAAAGAGATCATCCTTAACAGACTGGCCGACGCCAACATCCTGAGGGATAGCCAGCACGGGTTTGTTGCAGGTAGGTCTTGCTTGACCAATCTCATTTCCTTCTACGGCCAGGTGACCTATCACCTGGACAAGGGAGAATAGATTGATGTCATATATCTTGACTTCAAAAAAGCCTTCGATCTGGTATCCCATGATCACCTCTTGGCAAAACAGCCAACTGCGGCCTTGACCTCATCACGATCCGCTGGCTGGGGAACCGGCTCCACAGTAGGACCCAGAGGGTGGTAGTTGACGGGAGCCAATCGTCTTGGCACGCTGTGACCGGGGGGTCCCTCAAGGCTCTGTCCTTGGGCCTACACTATTTAACATCTACGTCAATGGTGTGGACACTGGAGTCAGAAGTGGACTGGCCAAGTTCACCGATGATACCAAACTTTGGGGCAAAGCATCCACGCCAGAAGACAGGCGGGTGATCCAGGCTGACCTGGACAGGCTCAGCAAATGGGC